GATGACTTTCCCATGAAACTAGCACCGCCCATCATCAGCTCAGTGACGTGATCAGGAGGAGATAATAAAGGACAATACCTCCCAGTCTCGAATTCCAGGGTTTTTCCCACATTGTTTTATCTGGGATTCCTTCATCATTACTCAGTGTTTAGGCTCATTTTCTGGAAAGTCATTTCACCCGAACGGCTTGCGGTGCGCTGCTTCTGGATAATAGGATGTCTTAAGAACAACCGGGCTCCGAACTAAGCACCACACTCAAAGTGCGTTAGTCCTGCTACAAGGACAAGGGGCTTAGACTTAATTCTGATGGACCTATAATATTACCTCTTCATAAAACCTTACCTTTAGAAAGTGAGTGGGGGATGGAGGCAGGTCTTCATCATGTTAAGTGATTCAATGTCCTCAGGCATCTTATCCTTTCATCTCTCAGCTGATCAATCTGTTTGCCTTGAAAGTTCAGCCTGCACAGGCCAGCAGGAGAACAGACCTATCTTCAGCTGACCTGACCTGTTACTTCTTTGATGGGATGCTCTAAGAGCTCTGTCCAATGACAGCTTTGTGTGGCCACTCAGAGGCAAATGCTGAAGAATTACCATGAAACTGAGTTCAAGTCCATAGTAAACATTGCCAGGGACGTTGAATTGTTGGCCTGTGAGTTTTCATCAGACGTGGGAATCTCTTTTTTTTTCTTTCTGCAAAATTCACTTCATAAGAAGATACATAAGCTTTGATAAGTGTGGGCAGTGTGGCTGCAAGGTTTGTTTCACATTGAAACAGAAAGAGGCACCAATTCTTAGAGAATTCCAAAACAATGTGGCCTGGAAGAAATCTGTTCCCCACTTGTGTCAATATTGAAGTGGCCTGGCGTACGTGTTTTAAAAATACCCAGCCGCTCTGTTTTGCTGTTTCAAAATCTTTTTCAGTATGTTAGTGTATAAATATTTTAATATGGTGTTGCATTTTCCTTAATTAAATCTCCCAAGTGTGCTTATGTCATGAGGTGCCTTAAGAAATGAGATTTTTTTTAATATTGTATAAATGTGGGAATTCTTGTTTGTGCCAAGGTGGACAGCAACACAGCATTGGTTGACAAACTGAAGCGATTCCAGCAGGAGAATGAAGAATTAAAAGCTCGGATGGACAAGCACATGGAAATTTCAAGGTAAAAAGAGAACAATGTCGTTTGTCCTGAGCTCCCCCCTCCCTTGCGCATCCAGTGTACTTTCTGGACACGCTCTACCCCTGCACCTCCCGGAAATAGGATGGAAGCAGACGGTTGAAGGGGCATTGATTTCTCTCTGGAAAATGTGATGGTAATGGTTCATGCTTTTACCAAAGCGGCCTGGACTATACACTGAGACCCAGGCCAGCAAGCCTGCTGCCACAGCCTCTGGCTGCCTCTGAGAATGCTTTCAGACAAAAAGCAATACAAAACCAAATAGAAAACAGCCCCCAGCATAAGACAGTCATAAAACATGTTGAATATTTGCAAAAGTGGCACTCAGCCTACTATGAAATTGCCCAAAAAGTAGAGTTATTATATTTTTTTGAGATGAGGTCTCACTCTATTGCTCAGGCTGCAGTACGGTGGTGGGAACTTAGCTTCCTGCAGCCTCCACCTCCTGGGCTCAAGCAATCCTCCCACCTCAGCCTCCTGAGTAGCTGGGACTACAGGCACATGTCACCATGCTTGGCTTATTTTTGTATTTTTAATAGAGACAGAGTTTTGCCATGTTGCCCAAGTTGGTCTCGAACTCCTGGCCTCAAGTTATCCACCCACCTTGGCCTCCCAAGGTGCCGGGATTACAGGCATGAGCCACCAAGTCCGGCCTGTGTTTGTGTTTCTTAGCCAGCCAAATACCTGTGACCTTGTGCAGGATTCTGTTTTATCCCAAAGGAATAATTTTGGACTTCAAAATTTCAAATGCTAAGAAAAGTTTTTCAAGTTATTTTTTTTACATAGATGTACATGGTTTCTGGCTTTTTTTTCTCCAAGGCAACTTTCCACGGAGCAGGCTGTTCTGCAAGAGTCTCTAGAGAAGGAGTCGAAAGTCAACAAGCGACTCTCCATGGAAAACGAGGAGCTTCTGTGGAAGCTGCACAATGGGGACCTGTGTAGCCCCAAGAGATCCCCCACGTCCTCTGCCATCCCTTTCCAGTCACCAAGGAATTCGGGCTCTTTCCCCAGCCCCAGCATTTCACCCAGATGATGCCTCCCCCAAAGTCCACAGACTCGCTGAAAGCATTTTGATACAGGTCTGCAGGACTGACCCCAATGAGGAACGTGGGCACAGAGGTATATCAGCACACGTGTGATCACCGTAGGATAACTGGAGCGTCACCGCCGCCGGAATCAGCAGCTTCTGAGACTGGAACTCTGGAGGGAGACTTTTGCCTCCATCCAAAAGATTCCTCCAAAAAAAGATTTCGGCATCGACACGGACGTTGTTGCACAAAGCACTTAAAGAACGAGAGCATCTTGTTCATTGCCTTTTTCACCTAAGCATAGGGGGAAAAACTCTCAGGGGCCTATTAAGATAAAGATTTATAACCTTTGTAATGTCCTTCACCACAGACACCTTCTTGTGAGTTTTTAGTCTGACTGTGGGGGTGGGGGGGTGTGAATGAAATGGATGTCACAGAGTGTCATGTGTCTGATGCAGCCGCCTCTGCTGTGTATTAAATGTCAAAATCTGAATATATCTGGATATGTACTAATCAAATAATCAGCATATACATTTCAGCCAAAGCCATAGAAGAAAAAGCAATAGTTGCTTGAATTATGATCATCTACCACCAACTCTGCTCAGCCCTGTAACAGGGCAGGGAGAAGGTATAACAGGGAAAGCTTTGACTTGTCCCTGTCTATACATTCTCTGTATCTTTTGGGGGTAACTTCTTGGCAGTTTTTCAGTGTTCAGCCATGTCAGTGGAAACTAGATTTTTCTGTAGAGTTTTTACTTACCCATGTGAGCCTAACACTATCCTATTATTCGTTTTCTCAGGCTATATGTAAATGTAGAATCCTAATTTTTCTATTAAAAAAAAAAAACTGTAAAAAGAAAAAGGGCAGTACCAATGCGTTTTTCCGCCTTATTTTTACCTTGATCTATCCTTGCAGATTTAACCTGTCTTCTTCTCTCCCATTATTTTCATTTCTCCACCATCCAGAGCCACAAAAGCAAACCTTCTACCTCCTACGTACGTTTCTCTGGGATAAGGATAAAGGAATACGATTTTCCAGAGCCCCAGAGCCAGCTCATCTTCCAGGTGCTGAAACCACTTTCCAAATAAACTAAAGCCTGGATTTGACACTACAGATTTTGGGAAATCTTAGAATAAAGAATGAGAAAAAGGAAGTCATTGGGCTAGTATAATTAAGAAAGGTAGGATTCAGTGCTTACCGATGCTGCAGTATTTGATTGATAGAAGAAAACAGTCTGGGAGGATCACACTCATTTTTCAGGTACCCTTTGAGGAGTCCTTCTGTCTTTAGTAGCAGAATGGCCCGCTGACAAGCGGAAAATGTGGCTTGTCCAACTCTCCTCCAAGTTGCATTTCAGTTTCTTTCCAAAACTTATTACCTCCCCTAATCGTGAGACTTTGGAAAAGGTGGAAGGAAGAACTGTTGCTTTATCTCCTACTCCCTGCATGTGTCAACATTGTGATGTCAGTATTTACTAATCAACCTTCAGCGGCTGTACAAATAACCGCTGTAGGAAGAAGAGATCCAGGATACTAGAGGTGGATATTTGGGTCATTTACTTTGTACACTACATAGCAAGTTGATACTCACGTTGCATGTTCTTTTAAATTAGTGGCTGTGTGTCTTAAGTCTTTAACTTCCAATAGTTTATCATGTATGTAACCTTCCATGTTTGCTTCTGATAAATGGAAATGTAGAGTCACTGCCACTTCCTGGGATATTTCTGCTCACGCTTCCAAGTTCTCAATGACATTAGCCAAAGTTGGGTTTGCCATTCATCCCCTACACATGGTAAATCTTGTGTTGTTCCCTGCCATCCTCCGTATTATGTGACTGGGAAATAAATCTCATAGCAGTTAATATAAAACGTCTTCCGAGGATGGCAGAGAACAGGAGAGAAGATAGGAAACAAAATAGAGAATTTTTAAGATTTTGTTTAAACCAAATGTTTCATGTAGAATGCAAAATGTTGGCACGTCAAAAATATGGATGTGTAGACAACTGTAGTTGTGCTCAGTTTGTAGTGATGGAAAGTGTATTTTACTTTGATCAAATAAATAATGCTGGAATACTCAAGAATTGCATCCTCTGACCTACTTCATTCTTCAAATTCTTCAGTTTTACATTCTTCAAATTTATAGCCCTTTGACAGCACAGTAAAGATCGTATCTCCTCTTAGTTTATTTCCCAGGAATTTCCACTGCAACCACATAATTGGTCATGGGTTGAAACTTGGCTCACAGAGCTAGAGTTAGGGCTAAGCTCTTCTTTTCTAAATTCAAAGCTATCTGTGTGTGTTTGAGAAATAAATTTTGGCTGATTTTAACAATTTCTGCTATGTAAGAAAATTGGACAAACTTGGTAAATATTTTTGAATATGGTAAAAAAAAAGTCTAAAAGTTGAATGTTCTCAACCTATGCATCTATTTCATATTGAAAGCTAAACTTCTAAAAACATGCTGTACTTATTGAATAGACTAATCTAGAATTAGTACCCTTGAGTGCAGCAGTTTAAAAAGATGAAGCATACATGATTTTTTTCAATACCTTCATAAATTAACTCACGTTTGCTTTAAAGTTGCTACTAAGACAAAATGACATTTCTAAGCATTTGAATCTGGAGGTGTTGCTTGTGGATAAGTAGTTGAACTGTATCTAGAACGTTTTAAAATTCTAATACATTGTGGTGGTGATAAAAAGAGAATACTTGGTACTGACCCACGTATCGCCACCACCAAGTCTTTTTGGATATACTTTAAGCCAACTTAACAAACACTTATCCCACTTTGTATTCTTTACAAAAACTTGTTCATTTAATAGAAATGAGTATATAAAATTGTTTACACATGTATAAAAACTAGGAACACGTATGTAGGTAAGCAATCAAAATACATGCTTTCTGTTAGAAAAGTTTAACACTTCTGTGAATAGACTGGATGACTTCCTTTTAGTTTGGGTGTCAGGGTCGGACTCAAGATGCTGGGGTTGGGGTTTGGTGCTTGACGTCAGCCTCTGGCAAAGCACTAATAAAAAGTACCCCAAAGCTGACTGTGTACACAAATGGGCTTTCCATAAGTTCATTACACTTCCTTTTCCAAGTCAGGAAAACTCAACAGTGGTAGCTACTGTGGTCTGTCCTTGAAGATTCTGAGCAGTGCAAATGTAATATCCTGCATCAATGGTCTCAAAGTCTTCCACTGTAATGACGCTCTGGGAGAGTCTCGTGGTGTGTCCCAGTCCTCTGTGGATCAGCCTCCAAGTGTCTTGGATCGTCACAGGCCTTTCATCCTGTTTAACGACACCCACACAGACTGAAGCACGAGGGACAAGCTGCTATAAACAGCTCCCACTCGCCCAACACTGTTGAGTGTTCCTTTCAAAGAGCAAAGCACATGCTTATAAAAGACTTTAGTATGCATAGCTCATAAGCTGTGGAAGCTTCTACACTGGCATCATTTTAGGCTGCATTTTTTCCAAACAGAGCCTTGAATTTCATTACGCTGTTTGGCGCTGTGTGTCTGCCCTTTTCTTCTATAAGTTTTTACTCAATCTAAAATGTATGCTTTTAGAACTCCAAGAAAGTGGAACTGGCATTAAGCACAAGCAAGGACAAAATTTTCCACTGGCCTCGTTCTTCACATTGCCCATTTTCTTTTCCTAAGTGGTTCTTATCTGCAGAATAGAAAGTCAGTAGCCTGAAAACGCACCCACTGTATAAATGACTAGGAGCTCCCAATTGCTCAGATTTGGGAGAGGGAGAACTATGATTAGGTCAATGTGCCTTAGGACTCCAGTGGGAGAAAAGTTGTACCAAGGATGGGTAAGATAATGTACTAGATGACATGACCCCTATTTCTAGAAAGTGAGATGGTCACTTTTGAGATGTTCAGCCAACTCTGGTGATAAGAACATAGTATTACTCAGTGAATACCTTTTCTCATAAAATACCAAATAGCAATGTAGGAGCAGGGGGAAAAAACAAAAACTAGAAAAAACACCTCTACTGAAAATCATGTATGTCCTGTAAGTATGACCAACACTTTTGATAAGTACCTCGTACCAGGAAGCTGGAAAACACTATTCCCAGGGACAGTTATTTTCTACCAATCACAGCCCGTAGGCCAGAAGGATGTCAGCTACTGAATGTGT